GATTATTTATAAAATTATTTTTATTTTTTTAAATCAATTATCTAAATTATATAAAATCATATTATTATTATTATTATTATTATTAATTATAATTATTATTATTATTATTATTATTATTATTTATTTATTTATTTTTTGCTTTATTTATTTATCTTTGTTTTTATGGTTTAAAAGTCTTTTAATATTTTTGATGTTTTATTTAAATATATATTTTTAATGTTTTTTTTAACGTTTTGTTCATCAAATATAATTATTTAAAGTTGTTTTTTATGTGTTTTTTGTTTACATCATTCATTTATATGTACGGTTATAAACGAACTGAACGTTCGGTGGTGAATCGTTGGTAAACTGTTCGGCGGGAAGTTCGTTTATGTTTGTTTATTTAATAAATGAATGAACATGAACAAAAATTATCGTTCGTTTAGTTAAACGAACGAACATGAACAATGGTCTCGTTGGTTCATTTATGTTCGTGAACGTTCGTTTATGATTTTCCTTTACGTTCGTTTATGTTCGTTCGTTTAATTTATTTATATTCATTTATGTTCAATTTTTTTTATTATATTACCATATTATATGTTCGTTTATGTAACATCCCAAAAATCGAGACCAATTTTTTTTTTTTTTTTTGTTTTAATTACATAACTTATAAAATTTGTTTGAGGAAAGCATTACAGATATCATATTAATTCAAAAACCATAGTTACATGTCTCAGAAACCAAATCATCAAATAGTAATAATGTCAGAGTACAATCCTAGAAATCTCAAATGCGGAATCATGTGTGTGCGATGCGCTGCTACCCTGCCGGCTCATTCCCATTCGACGAAGAGGTACCTGAAACCAAAATTGAAAACTGTAAGCACAAAGCTTAGTGAGTTCCCTCATCATACCACATAATAGTGCCTATTCCTCGGTATATTTCAACCGGTAGCCGGAAACTAACCTCTACTTCGGTATCTTTCAACCGGTAACCGAGAGCTAACCTCTCCTTCGGTATCTTTCAACCGGTAACCGAGAGCTAACCTCCCCCTCGGTATCTTTCAACCAGTAACCGGGGACTATTTCACCCCTACCGCTATCACATAATAATGTAACATGAAAATACTGCTAGGCATGCATGGGTACTATCCACCCTTTCGGTATCTTTCAACCGGTAACCGGAGACTATCCCACCCTTACCACTACTACACATATATCATAGCATCCTAACACATAATATAACAGATTCAACATACCAAACGATTATCACAAAGACAATCATCTTTACTACGTACTCCTGTTAATATGTCGATCTTGGTGCCTTAGACCCCTTTCTACTGGAAGGTAACTCACCTCGATGTCGTGTAGTGTCTGCACTGTCCTCGGTATGGAAATCAACTCTTCTCGACTCCTTAATCCCTACACAACATCCTTTCTACATCACCATTTCATACTCATAACCCCTTCAAGGGTCAACTCAAGCCCAAGTCAAAGTCAAGGTCAAAACCTTGGTCAAAGTCAGCTTTGGTCAAAGTCAACATCTGGTTGACTAGACTCGCCGAGTTGGTCTACCAACTCGTCAAGTCCCCACGTACACAAAATGCTACAATCCCGTCCCTACTCGTCGAGTCTAGCAAGAGCTCGACGAGTTCGCCTTCAACAACATCGAGACCTTCTTCAACTGACTCGCCGAGTTCATCCTTGAACTCGTCGAGTTCATCCTTGAACTCGTCGAGTTCATCTTCATCTGTATGAAGGTGTTTAGTCTATGACTCACCGAGTTCTCCTTGAACTCGTCGAGTTCGTCTTCATGTGGTTGGGACATTGCCTTGAACTCGCCGAGTTCTTCCTTGAACTCGTCGAGTCCTTCGATCTTCAAGTCCATAACAACCCCAACAGGCTGAGTTTTCCTTCAACTCAACCAAAGACCATTTCCCGAAGACGTTTGGGGGAAACTGCGACCCGACTCGCCGAG